CCTCAGAATACCGCATTAGTACTTTTAAAATAAATAAAATAAAAATTACTAAAGAAATAATTTTTTTAGGCGACATACATCAAAAGCGGACAAAGTGATGGGAAAGCTCCTGTGATAAATACGCACTTAAAAAATTATCTGCCAAAAACTGTCGTTTCACATTGACAGTTTAGATGAAAACGGGTTGTCAAACGTATGACATGAAAATTTAACGACAGTCTTTGACATCCACTACTCTACCGACCTAAGAGTTTGGCATATAGTACCGGTCTCTCCGCCACTTACTTGAAACCGACTCCCTCACGCTGTATATTTTAGCAAGTTATCCAAAAGAGTTCACGACAACTCCAAGATGGATTGTGATACTATTTACCCGTTATAAAACTGGGAAATATTGAAAACTTGTTTCTAAATGATTAGCCTTCGACAGCAACTGCAAGAAAATCACGCCCGAAAATCAGACGAATTGTTTCGATTTGTAGGCCTTTGTGGGCCTATACGTCCAGCGAGCTCGTCAAACCGCATGGCATAACAAGTCACATCCAGTGCATTCAGGGGAAAATATTGCTGCTGCAGTACAAAATATATGCGCCATAAGCTATCAACGCCGTTTACTGGAAACATCTCGTGTACTAATGTGCGCGAGTTTTTGCATAAAAACATTACTAAACAGGCTATAGAGTCCAATTAGGCCAGGAACTGAAGCAGGCTACGACCAATGGTCTAAAGACGTTTGGAAGGCGATGAGCATTTTACCGCAAACTTATCTTTTGGAGCTCAAAAAACCCATACGTAGCCATGGAAAGGACGGCGCTGCGCTAAGCAATCAACGTTACAATTGTTCGATGATGTCATGCAGCTATCTTCCTTGGACTATTTTTCGGACGGATCCAGAAGATAAAAGTGCTCTGTCAGCCATCCAAAAATAGCTTGAATTGTGAATTTTAAGTCGCTTTTACAGCTTTTAAAGAATGCACAATCGAAAATGTTTGGCGAAATTTGGGTCAACAGTCCGAAAAAAATGTAGCAGCTGCAGCCATAAGAATGAAGTTGTTGAGGCATTTCATCAAAGACAAAGTCACTGATAAGTAATTATCCGTCTTTTTATTTAACAATTTGAAAATGCAAATATTTTGTGGTCCACCGCTGATATCTTCCACACATTTGATACTCATATTTTGAGAGTTTTGGTCACAAGTACTGGATAACTTCACACCAATTATGAGGGGATATCATAAAATCGACAATAAGTTATAAAAAATCTTTACAGTTCATTTTTCACACTTCACCTTCGGCAAAATAAACTATGTGAAATAGTTTGAAACACAAAATTAAAAAAGTTACTGTTATTTAAACACAACAATTTCAGACGACCCGCCATAAATTCCAGCAATATTCTTATTTTTTTATTACAATATAAAAATGTTATAAAACATATCTGCTAAAAACGACCAAACATAGTAAAATATGGTACAGTTAAGTAAAGTGTCGCTTAAAAACTAACAAATCGCGCGTATTACAGTTCAGCTCAGCGCAGCGGCAGAAGTAGCAGCACGCTGGATGCAGAATTCACCTCTACAGTGTGGGGTTGAGCATAGCAAAAATAAAGCAACAATCCAATATGCACATGGATATAAATTTCGAAATGCTTTTTGCGCACATTTCTTTGTCTAATCCAACATTTTGTTGCCCAAAAATAAGCAACAAAAAAGTTTAAAATATTTTCAGCAATTTTGTGCTTGTCCCTGCTTTGTAGACTTTACCAACACGCTTTGTTTGCAATTCGTATTCGGGCGTTAGCGACAATGCTTTATTACGCCACCTGAGCGTTTTGTTGCTTTGTCATTTTGTTACTGTTCGTGTTAGTGTTGTTGTTGTGCACATTCACTAAATTTGCACAAATTCGTTGAGCAAATTTACGCAAACACGACAACAATAAGAGCGTAATTACAGAAATGCTGCAATATTTAGCGAATTTAGTGCGAAGCAAATGTGTTAGGACATAAATATGAGTGCATCGGTGTGAGAGTATGTTTGTGTGTGTGTGTTTGAGCGGATGTTAGGTTGGCGGCTTTCAGAAGTGGTGACATTTGTGGGTGGCCTTGGTTGATTTGTTGTTTTAGTGTTTTAGTATTTTAGTATTTTAGTGTGTAGTGTAGTGTGTAGCTGTTGTTATTGTTGTTGTTGTTGTTGTTGTTGTTGTTGTCGTCTGCCATTACCCACTAAGCACCAAGGCCTTGCAAGTTTTTTCCGGCAATTAAATGCCTGCCTGCCTGACTGTCTGCCAACTTGCTGCCGTTGCATGCCACAACACTTTCGGTTGTTGCACACTTTTGGGCGCCGTAAAATACAAAATTCCATGAATTTGTGCAAATGCAATTAAAAAATCGTAAACTTTGCTACCGCCATAACGGTTACCAGTCGCTCTGTTCATTTGGCTGTATGCCGCTGAGCACCATATTGAGCTATACATATATTTTAAATGTGTATGTACGTATGTACACTGGTAGAAGTGCATACATATTTATGTATGTATGTGCTTAAAGTAGTTGTTGTTATGCGAGTGAGTTTATTTATTTTTCATTGTCAGTGCATTAGTGTGGTTTAATCGTAAAATATTAAACGTTCTTGTCATCATTTTGCAGGCTGGCAATAAGCTTTATGTATGTATGTAAGTGGTAAGTACTTAAAAAATTCCAATTAACGTTGATGCCGAAAATAGGCTATAAATTTTGTGAAAGGCTTAAACACAGCAAGGTTTAGACTGCTGGTAAAGAAGTGAAGAAATTCGAGATGTCACTCTTTATATATATTTTTTTTAATAAATCATGTACAGGTAGTCGTGAATTATGAAATCATAATTTATTCAGCACGCATTGAATAACTTTATGTCGGCTATAAAATGGAGAAATTTTTTTATTCCCTCAAAAAACTCTGACAAATTAAAATCAAAAATTTATATGTAAGGAAAATGTAAAATAAACTAACATATATGTGGACAAGAATACCTGAACTGAATGGTGCTAAAAGAAAAACAATAAAATATCAGAAATTCCCTTTGTTATTGTTTTTTGTTATAAATTAAAACAAAAATGCAATGCAAGAAATATCAAATTGCATTTTATTTTATTTTATTTTATTTTATTTTATTTTATTTTATTTTATTTTATTTTATTTTATTTTATTTTATTTTATTTTATTTTATTTTATTTTATTTTATTTTATTTTATTTTATTTTATTTTATTTTATTTTATTTTATTTTATTTTATTTTATTTTATTTTATTTTATTTTATTTTATTTTATTTTATTTTATTTTATTTTATTTTATTTTATTTTATTTTATTTTATTTTATTTTATTTTATTTTATTTTATTTTATTTTATTTTATTTTATTTTATTTTATTTTATTTTATTTTATTTTATTTTATTTTATTTTATTTTATTTTATTTTATTTTATTTTATTTTATTTTATTTTATTTTATTTTATTTTATTTTATTTTATTTTATTTTATTTTATTTTATTTTATTTTATTTTATTTTATTTTATTTTATTTTATTTTATTTTATTTTATTTTATTTTATTTTATTTTATTTTATTTTATTTTATTTTATTTTATTTTATTTTATTTTATTTTATTTTATTTTATTTTATTTTATTTTATTTTATTTTATTTTATTTTATTTTATTTTATTTTATTTTATTTTATTTTATTTTATTTTATTTTATTTTATTTTATTTTATTTTATTTTATTTTATTTTATTTTATTTTATTTTATTTTATTTTATTTTATTTTATTTTATTTTATTTTATTTTATTTTATTTTATTTTATTTTATTTTATTTTATTATATTATATTATATTGACATTATACATATTATATTAAACGAAATGATATATATATATTTGTATTAACAGACGCCCGCATTTTAATAAATTAAAAACACAGGTAATTTATGCTACAAAAAGGAAAAGCTAAAAAATTAAATCAATTTAAAAATCCTTTGTAGCGCTTAGCGATATACCATAGCCAAGGATAATAAAACCAGTAAGGAAAATTTTGTAAAAATTATTTTATTATTACTTGCTTACTTCGGTTTTAGTTTTAGGAATTTTGCACTTTTAATATAATCAAATCTGAGTGCTGGCTTGTATGCCTAAAATTATGGCTCTCGGTTTTCACTTCTCGCATAAAGTAAACAACCAACCGTAACCAGCATTAAATTGCTTTGCCGGATATATTTTTGATTAAAGGCATGTGTTTTGATTAACACATACCAACCCAAACAGCATAGATATGTAATTTCACCCATGTGCAGATAAATTTGTGAGCGCTACGAATGCTTATAGCAAATTAAGCGCGAAGTTATGCAGCTGCGTTGATTGAATGCGCCGACCTCAGCTGTGCACTTTGCCCTCACGTATGAGATTGGTTTGCCTATGCTCGTAAAATCTAAATTCAATTCCACAAATTCTTTTTCGAAGCATTACGGCGTGACCATGATTGACTGTTGGTGGAGTGGGAAATAGGCAAAAATGGTTAGGTGTGTGTGTATGGGTGTAATATTCTACTTTGATTTTAATTTTTTATTCTGGCAAAGGAGAATGTTTTTTCTCTGCTTTACTTTAAGTTTTAGTTTCTCTCATTTCTGCTCAATACAAATATAAAATAGTTTTTGCTGAAAATGTTCACGAGCTCCAAAGTATTTGCTGATAGTTGAATCAATTGTGAGCAATTAAAACTTTTCATCATATTCCTTTATTTTTCGTTTTTCTTCATTTCTTTGCTAGGCTTTGCAAACAATTCCAAAAGCAAGAAAAGAAATGGCAAAGCTGCCGCAGAGGAAGTTTTTCTTCAAAAGTTATAGAAGCGCTGATGATTACAACTTCTATCTCATTAATTGCGGTTGCCGCATTGGAAGAAGGTTTTTTGAAAAGTTGATTAAGGAATTGGCGGTAATGAAATCAATACTGCACAATAGTTACATTGAAACTTACCTTTTGCACAGAAGTTATTTATTGTTTATCTGCAAGAGAAGAAAACTTTTATTTTAGCTTTTGTATTTCTAAGATATTAAATAAAATATTTTGATGTTTGCGATTGCAATTTATGTCATAACCGGAGGGAAATTCGCAAATAGTAGTTCGCAAAATTCCATTAACTAATAAAATAAATTATTTTGATGTTGGAATAAGTCTTGTACATGTAGACCAGTGCCATAGAGGATTTTATTTGAAAAAAATATTAAATTTATTTAATTTTTCCAGTGATTCGAGTTGTTATTTCTGCCTTCATGTTTTGCTATTCAAAACTAAAAATCGGGCTCGAAAATAATCATTATTTTTGAAAAGACTTCCAAGTATAGCATTTGAGTATCAAAAATTTCTTTAGATATAATAATTATTAATTATTTTTCTGAGCAATTTTTTTTTGCTTAAAAAATAAGAAAATGTCCAATCTGTTTGTTTTACCATGCCAGCCAGCCTTTTAGATAATTAATTGAGCTAAACCAATTGAAGGCTTTAGGAAATGGCAAGGAACACATTCCCTTACCACACCGCTGCTGTATGAGCTCTACCCTAAAGCTTCAATAGAATCTAAAAGCAGAGAAATATCCAAGTCTCTTTTGGCTATATACTAAGGCCTCACACAAACAACTTTCGCAAGGGACTCAAAAGTAGAAATTTAATATGACACTATCCAAGAGTTGTAGCCTGTGACTAAACACCGGAGATGATGACGAATCGAGCTTGTGTACCAAAATATAGAAAGGTGGTATATTTTAAATCTTTAAATATAATATTACTAAGTAGGCCATACACTAACTATGGCTTTATCAGCATAAGTAGGTCAGAAAGTAAATCAGTTGAGCACTCCTGCAGAGAAAAGGTAGACTAGTTAAATATAATACTAGTACAACATTTTGAAGTCGAAATCACACCAGTTTGCTTGCAAACCAGAGTTATACTATTCGAGTTATAGTTCGAGTATTTGAACTAGTATTTTTCCGGCATATTCATACCAATTAGTCTTTTTGTAAAAAAAAGCAGAGATCATAAGTAAATAAATGCTTCGATATTAATAGATTTGCTGCTTAAACAACCACAAATTATTGATTTTTTTTATTTTGCTCGGTTGTAAAAAAAATTATGAATAGTCCAAAATAAGCTTCACATACATAGAAATTATGTTCCAGATTTCAAGTAATGTTAACTATGAGTGTGTTTACTCAAATAAGACGGTCCTTAAACAATTTCCCGTGCAGGAAGTTTTCTAAACAATTTTAAAATCTTCCTGAATTTCCACAAAAATTTCATTAAAATCGTTTCAACCGCTTGGAACGTCTTAGGCGAAATAGTTTTCAACTAGTATAAAGCAACCAGTATTTTAACTAGTATATATGAATTGGTTTAAGCTGGTTGGATTATAGTTGTAAACTAGTATCATTCCCTGCAGGAAGCCAAATCAAGGCTTTCAAGAAATTCTATATTAATTTAGTTCAAACATAATGGCTGACTTGCTACTAGACCTAATATATATAGATATCATATTTTGTATCTTATTAACCAATTCTCGGCACTTTTCTCACAGATAGTATATGAGTTGAGCTGAGTTGATGCGGCTACTGGTTAAACCCCAGCACACCTAGACTAATAGGCCCATTGTAATACCGTTGAGGCTCCTGCCTTCACCTCCTCAAATGATCGAACCATTTCGTGTGCCTTATAAAGGCAACGAGATTTCCAATGTTCACTGAGGCCAACTCAACGAGACAGCCGAAGAAGTGTTCCCAAGAAACTTATGTCGCGCGGATGTCAAGACTGCACAGTGGCAGAGGTAGTGCTCGATGGTCTCCTCCTCTTCTTCGTCCCAACAGCCACGGCCGAAAACATTAAGTAAAAGCCTATCGTAATTACTTGAAGCCCTGTAAAACAGTGCCTAGTTATTATACCCGTTGCTATGCTAATAGAGAACCGGTCCAGAGGGATAAGATGTTCAGATTTTTTCGCGTCCAGCTTCGGCCATAGCTGTCTGGTCACCTTACACGTGATCTCGTTCAGCCATAATAAAAACTCATTACGGACATGTTAAAAACAAAATCATACAAACAGAAATATCATTTGAGCAGCAATTCAATTTTACAAAAGTCTTTGACTGACTGATTGTGGTAACAAGGCAATGTGTTTCATCATTATAAGCGAGTGAATAGGATATAACTATAAACATTTAGACACGCATAAATTACATACTTTCAAATTATAAATCACACATTCCAACGTGCACCAACAACTAAAACGGGAAGCAGTTTCGACGCATTCGTTGTCAAACTAAGAATTCCACTGTCATAGAAAAAATGTTTATGTCACTCATAAATGAGTGGCAGCTACAAGACTTCTTTTTTGACTGACACAATACACAACACCACTCTCTATCTTTTTCGCAACACTACCACATTCAACCCACAAATTAAAGTGAGTATGAGTGACTGAGTGACTGTATGGCAGCGTCCAACTGCTGTGCTGTAAGTAAAGCAAGGGTAGGAAGAATGAAGTACTAACAATCATCTCCAACTACCTACAGTTGTATGCTAAAAAGAAGTCCGTCAGTTAACCGCAGTTGTCATTTACAGGAAAAAGTACAAGTACTGACGATTTACTAGTATACCAAAAACTAAGGATATGCGTAGGAGTGAATGTGCGTTGTGTTATTGTGTAGGTGGCGGATACAATGTTGTACACTTGAGTGATAAATGAATTCGCCCGCTGTCGCTCAGAGCCTTCAGCTACTTTTATTTTCCTGAAGCAGTGCGCAAATTGCCGTAAACGAGCGAAATGCAAAGTTTACATTGTTTTCCATAAGAAAATAAGACCTTTACTGCTATTGTTTTCTTCACTTCAATTTTTTTATTTGTTATTTTTAATTATTATTTAATTACATATAACTTACAGTGTTAGAGGAAAATATTAATTTTTAGTTATTTTTATGCCTTAACTTTGTTGTTCAAAAAATATTTTTTTTGCTGATGTATAATATATAATAATATATAATTATTATTATACACACAAATATTTTTGATAAAAATTATTCGTTGCTCTATACTGCTTGTACTCCGCCAGGCATTGAAGCGAGAAAAAAGCAAATATTTAGATATAATTGAACTCTGACAACAGCTGTTAACACATAGTTATTGTGGTTATTTGCGAAAATGTTATTGTTTTTGTTGCTGTTGTTATTGAGGCGTTTATGTTGATGTTGCTGATGTTATTGTTGTGGTTTGCGCAAGTTCGTAGCAACATATGGCAAGAAATCATACACATTTTATGTGACATAGCGTTAAACACATACATGTATAATATAATATCCCTGGTGGGGAAAATACTAGTTGGCAACTAGAATTCAATTAGTTAACATTTCTACACCAACCAATTCATATTCATCCATTTCCCATGTAAGTCACTGGTATTTTTAACACGGTGATGACTTACGAGCTGACAATTGTCCTACTATGCATCAGCTTCATACTAGTTTAATACTAGTTTGTTTAGGCATGTTGAATTTCTACTTCACCAAAAAAAAAAAATTATATCAAATAAAATTCAGTTACACGGCTGCGAGAATCGAGCCGAGACCCTCACACACCACAGTGCAGACCCTTAACCACTAGACTATATGATATATGGGAGAACGAAAGCTGCACATTTCAACAGAAATCTTTAGGAAATGAAATTCAGCCGTGTCATACACAAAACTTGCGAATGACGTGAAAGTGAAAATTCCCGTTTCATTAAAAGTTTAAAAATATAAAATAATTCAAAACTTTTGTTTCACCAAAAATTAAAAGAGAAAAAATTATAATTAAAAAACTTCTGTTTCAGCAGAAAAATAAAACTTAAAACTTAATTTGCCTCTAGCGGAACTCAAACCTGAAGCCTAACGCGTTACAGTGAGAACCTCTTACCACTCGGCTATCAAGATGATGCAACGACCAATGTCAGTTTGCGCACTTCCAGAGAACAGAACAAAGTATGGAATTCAGCCCCGGCGCGCCGTTATAACAAGAACAAACGGTGGTGGAAATTTCTCGCGTTACTGGCGGAATTCTTTACAAATAATGAACTGGTATGATTGCATCTTCAACAAACCAGTATTTAACTACAATTTTTGCAAACTAATTGGTTTTTCTCCTCAGAAATATTATGAATACACCATACGAGAATGTGCATATGTACCTATATTTGTATGCATAAAATCTGTAAGCTGTAGTGTATGTCATGCGTAGTGTCGATTTGTCTTGACCCTTTCGCTAAAACTGCCAAAAGCAGTTGGCGCTGCGGTTATTAGCATTGCTTATAACTCGTTGTGTATAGATGTACGAGCATTTTCTGTAATATAACATATGCACACATATGTGGATATACGCTTATAGTACATGCATTTCTTTTGCCCACATTGACAAATGATATCATTTAAATTTATGGTAGTCATAAATATTTAATGCATCCCCAGTGACAGGATTTTCTTTGATTTGACCCTAGCCAATGTTTATTTAGTACTATTCACTCGAATACATAAATACTTGCGCATATTTATCTCGAAATAATTTTAGAAAATTACTATATTTACACTTTGTCACCATTCAAAATGTTTCCTCGAAGTTCATATCTTAAGGCGAAACATTTAATTGTGCTTTCGTTTCTCGAAACTTTTGGGCATTCTTAGTATTTTGCAGCCTATTTGCAAATGTTTCGTCTTTTTAAAATGTCACAGAGAGGGTTTTCCAACGTTCATTGAATTGAAATATTTAAAACAGAATTTTTTCGCTTGTGTTTATCAACATTTGCTTATCCATTATTTTTGCCACAAATGGCTTTGGTGATCTATGTATTGCGTCAGATGCTATTTTGTACTAAAGAAGACAATGGGAGAAGTTGACCATTGAACCTCTGTTGAGAAACATTCGCTCAAGCCAAAGATGGGCATCAGCAAGAGATTAATGGTCATTTGAGTTTGATTGGCAAGATGTCA